ATATGTTGATGTTGCGTTGGGTGCGCTGCTGACTTATTGATTTTACGATTGCGGCCGAGGAAAGAACACTCTCCGCGTTCGGGTTTTAGAGCCTAAAGACAAGGCTGTTAGTTTTGCGAAGTTCAATATCAAATTCGGTTTTCAATGTGTCGAATATAGTAACTTGTAACATCTCACTTCGCCAAGAAGGCTAATGAGATGATATCTGCCAATAAGGATTCGAAAATCCTATTCGATTGAGACTTGGATAGATAACCAGTCGACCCTGTTGCAGTGCTGTTTATCCAAACTGAATGTGCTTTCACGATCGGTTGATTCTACGACAACAATGTTGTTTATCCAAATTGAAGATATTCACCGGTTGCCTTCACAATGCTATTTATCCAAACTGAAGATGTGTTGGCGAAAAAGGAAAATAAAAATCTCAAGGTTATTGAGAGGTTTCACGTAGAGCGAGAGCTTGCGTATGGTAGTTTGTGTGTTAAATTAAGGCGATCATTCTGTTGCACATCGCCTCTATATTTATAGGGATGTAACTTTTGCTTGGCATGGCCATATAATTTTGTAGAGTTCCACTGCAACTCTAATTTGTGGAATTGAAATTGATCCACATCAGAAACCAAGACATATCCTTCAAACTGAGTCGTGGGATTTGTTCCAAAACTTTTCAAACCTAATAAAAGTCCATCTAGGCTTATCACATCACATTTCTAGACCACCTAGGCTTCTCTTCATCGAAAACCCCATCAGTAGCCATGCTTTATCTGATCATCAAAACACCATAGAAAACGGCTTAACCTACTTAGGTTCCTTGTGTCATCATTATCCAAGACCATGATTTTCCTTTATCCCATTATTCCACGTGGTTCTGCATGCAAATCCATTCAAATATGGAACTGTACAACTGACTAGATATCAAGCTGCACGGCAGGCCTTCCATGACTCTCTCTACTACCGTATTAATTGTAAGGGGTTGGCAAGCAGCCAGCTGTGCAATCTCCTTTAATTTCTCCACAACCTGATAAAACCCTTACTTATCTGCAATAAAATCCTACGCGTATCTCTACAAGCTTAAGGATATTTTCAAGATAATTACTACCATTAAAATCAATAGTAATGCCAACAAAATTATCTTAACGGTGTACAACCATACCCACTTAACGACCTTGATACCATGGGTCGATGGTGTAATTTTGGGTCCAAACAAAATTAATAAACGCTAGTGCTTTGGGTTTAGCCGACCTCAAGTAGGGCCTTTTATAACACTACTATCTTGTACTTTAATAATAGTCAACCTCATGTGATTTTTATTTTGTATCAAAATTGTGATAGCCAAACCAGCCAACTAAATGCTTTTGTCAATGAAACTAGCATATGGGTACACACAAAGTGTGTGAGAAATTTTTTTATTTTTGTTTTTGAAATAGAAGGAGAAAGGAAGAGAGTGATAGAGAATGTGAGAGTGGGAAGTTTTTATTTATTTATTATTATTATGATTATTTTTTAAATTAGATATATGTTAGGATTACATGTAAATGAGGCTTTGAAAAAAAAAGTAAAATTTGGTTGTGTGAAATTACATTTATGCCTCATATTTCTTATTCATGTTCTGTTTTAATTAAAGAGTTAAACTGAAAATTTTATAAAATTTTAATTAACAATGAGTGTTTTATTAATTAGTAGATATTATATAACGTTTATTTTCAATCGCATATATAAGTCAAAATATAAGAACAAAAAAAGAATTAAGGGTCCAATGAAAAAACATTAGCCCATACCTACAAAAGTCTGATCGGCCCAATATAACAAACCCAAAAACATATCTGGCCCAAACAATACCTCAAAAAAGTGGTCACCCGCGCAACGTGTAACCAAATACGGCAGCCAACCGGCCACCGCTTCAATTATCCACCCTTTAATTCTCTGTACGCCATTCCACCGTTACCCCTAAAATATCCTCAAATTCCCAAAATGCCACCCACTCACCAGCCAATTTCACCCAACAAAAACCATAGCACCCATGTAAATTTTACATAATTCAAGCCCACATTCCCGACAAAGCCCTTCCCTCTAAAAATTCCAGAACGCTCCAGCATCACCTTTATGCTTCCCACCGATTCCCCTTACACTCTCTTCAATTTCTCGAACAATGCCTCAAACCACTATAAATTGACAAATTCCAATCCCCAATCCAAAACCCATCTCAAAATGCATAAAAAAAAAAAATCTCACAAAGCTTTCAGCTTTTCAGAAATCTTAAAAAATACCACAAAGCCTTCGGTTTTTCAGAAATCTTTTATTTTTCTCGCAAGTTTGTCTGCAAATCTCGAGCTCTGTTTGTTAAGTAGTTTCAATGGCGGATAAGATGGAAGGAAAGGCCATCGGCATCGACCTCGGCACAACTTATAGCTGCGTTGGGGTCTGGCAGTACGACCGCGTCGAGATCATCGCCAACGAACAGGGTAATCGGACAACCCCGTCCTACGTGGCCTTCACTGACACCGAGTGGCTGATCGGCGACGCTGCAAAGAACCAAGTGGCGATGAATCCGCATAACACCGTATTTGACGCGAAGCGGCTCATCGGGAGGAAGTTCTCCGACCCGTCGGTGCAAAGCGACATGAAGCTCTGGCCTTTTAAGGTTATTCCAGGCCCCGGCGACAAGCCCATGATCGTCGTGACCTACAAAGGGGAGCAGAAAATTTTCTCGCCCGAGGAGATTTCGTCGATGGTGCTGATGAAGATGAGAGAGGTCATAAAGGCGTATCTAGGTCAGGCGGTGAAGAACGCCGTCGTGACTGTCCCTACTTACTTCAACGACTCACAGTGGCAGGCCACCAAGGACACTGGCTTGATTTCCGGGCTCAACGTCATGGGGATCATAAACGAGCCGACCGCCGCTGCCATTGCCTACGGGCTCGACAAAAAGGCTTCGAGAAAGGGCGAGCAGAACGTCCTGATTTTCGACCTCGGCGGTAGGACTTTCGATGTCTCGCTTCTGACGATCGAGGAGGGGATTTTCGAGGTGAAGGCCACCGTCGGAGACACCCATCTGGGCGGAGAGGATTTCGACAACAGGATGGTGAATCACTTCGTGGCGGAGTTCTGGAGGAAGTATAAGAAGGATATTAACGGAAACGCTAGGGCGTTACGGCGGCTGAGGACAGTATGCGAGCGGGCGAAGAGGACTCTATCTTCCACCACCCATACGACAATCGAAATCGATTCCTTGTACGAAGGTATCGATTTCTACTTGTCGATTACTCGTGCGAGGTTCGAGGAATTGAACATGGATTGTTCAGGAAGTGTATGGAGCCCGTCGAGAAATGTCTGAGGGATGCGAAGATGGACAAGTCGCAGATTCATGAGGTAGTTCTTGTCGGCGGGTCGACAAGAATCCCGAAAGTCCAGCAGCTTTTACAGGACTTTTTTAACGGGAAAGAGCTTTGTAAGAGTATAAACCCCGATGAGGCTGTCGCTTACGGCGCGACGGTGCAAGCGGCGATCTTGACCGGCGAAGGGGATCAGAAAGTGCAGGACTTGCTGCTGCTCGATGTCACGCTGCTCAGTCTCGGTCTCGAGACCGCTGACGGGGTTATGACTGTGCTGATTCCGAGGAACACGACAATTTCGACAAAGAAAGAGCAGATCTTTTCGACTTATTCGGATAATCAACCCGGAGTTTTAATCTAGGTTTATGAAGGAGAGCGAGCGCGAACGAATGACAACAACTTGTTGGGGAAGTTTGAGCTCTCGGGCATCCCTCCAGCTCTGAGAGGCGTGCCGCAGATCAATGTGGTCTTCGACATTGATGCGAATGGGATTTTGAATGTGTCGGTTGAGGACAAGACGGCAGAGGTGAAGAACAAGATTACGATTACGATTACGAATGACAAGGGTCAGCTGAGCAAGGAGGAGATAGAGAAGATGGTGCAGGATGCGGAGAAGTACATGGCGGAGGACGATGAGGTGAATAGGAAGGTGGATGCAAAGAATGCGTTGGAGAATTATGCGTACAACATGAGGAACACCGTGAGGGATGATAAATTTTCTGGGAAATTAGACCCCGCAGACAAGGAGAAGATCGAGAAGGCGGTGGACGAGGTGATCAATTGGCTGGAGGGGAACCAGTTGGCGGAAGTTGATGAGTTTGAGCACAAGTTGAAGGAGCTGGAGGGGCTGTGCAACCCTATTATTGCGACGATGTACCAGGGTGCCGGCGGCGCTGGAGGCGGCATGCCGATGGGAGACGACATGCCTGGTGGCGCTTCCGCTGGCTCTGCCAATGGACCCGGCCCCAAGATTGAGGAGGTGGATTGAGTTGCTTGAAGTTGCAAATGGGTTGGGCTGCTCTGTTTTTGTTTGTGGGTTTAAGTGCATTCTGTGTTTTGGGGTTTAGCTTGTAAACATGTTTTCGGTTTTGTGTTGTTTTACGCTAAAAGCTCTGTAAGTAGTGTGTCTATGTTAAAATGTCAACAACTATTTCAATAAGAAGCTAGCAATTTACCTTTTAAGACGTTTGTTTCAGTAAGAATTTGGTTTTTTCCCATGGCAATCAAGGACAAGGCAGTAAATTGGGGATCAACTATACTTCAGCAACCAAAAAGATGCATATCCCCAATGAAATTTAAATCAGTTAATTGGAACATCAGTTTATAAAAGATAGCGTTAGGGATTAAATAGTTAGTTGCTGGAGGAAAAATCGACGAAAGTTAAACTCAACACTCTAATCATTCAGTTCGATTGATTCTTGTTATTGTGGTAAAACGCCTGCCCTTACAATCTCATGTACGTATAAAGGTATAACCTATCAACTCTAGCGGAATGAAGATTCATGGTCGAACTCGAAGTCTCTAACACACTGTGGGCCTCACTGTAGGAGTAATGAGCCCAAACAATTGTGACCCAATAAGGTCCAAGGCCCATGGAGTCCACTCCCGTTCATTCGTCTTCAACGAGAAATTTTTCATTGTGACGGAAGCATAAGTGGTACAACACGGTTGGTTTTAATAGTTGTTTTTTACTGTTTGGAGTGTTTGGATTAACCATGGCTGGGATCGCCACCGGCTTCGCATCGCTACCCATGCTATCATCCCGAGCCACCACTTCCAAACCGACGCCGTGTCCGCTCTCGCTCTCCTCCGCCGAGTCCAAACATTTCGGCGGCCTCCTCCGTTTCAACAGCTCATGTTTCGTAAATTCCAGCTCTTTCAGCTCCCTCTCATCCACGTCTGCAGCCGAATCACAGCCCGTTTCGGCGGGGGGCCCCGCTACGACAACTCGAGCAATGACTCGCGGTGCTCACGAAAAGGCGACTCCTCAAACGAGGACGAGGCCCTCGATATCTCCAGCGTCAAGTTAATCGATTTATTAAGTGTTTAATGTGCGTTTTTCTGTTTGTGATTACGTTATTCAAAATCGAATTTTGAGGTGGTTCCTTGTTGGATGTTTTTGAAACAGGTCGGATACTGTGAGGCTAATCGACGCGAAGCAGAACATGGTTTGTGTTTTTGTTTTGTTAATTTTTGCTAATGTTATGTTCAAAATGTGTTCTTTTTGGTTGATGATGAATTGTGGGATTGTTTGTTGTTCCACGTAGGTTGGAGTGGTGAGTAAAAGTGAGGCTATTCGACTGGCTGACGATGCTGAACTCGATTTGGTATGCATTTTGCCACTAGTTTTTGTTCTGTTTTACATACAATATAAGCTTATATGTATATGTATATGTATATACATACATTGCAGAACTTCGTAAGAGGGACTCCGCTCTTCTGTTCATGGAGCGAAATAGGTTACCGCCATAGCGTTAACTGTTTCCTGACCATGAATTGGGCACATTGTGGGGTGAAAACACTGATCTCGAAAACATGAACAAGGTTTCCCACTCGCTCTATTGAGTTACAGCCCTTGTTGGGTTCTGCAAGGAAGCATCTCGATAGGTCCACAACAAGAAACAGTCAATACGAGGACACTATCCGATCCCACTCACTTTTAAGAAGGGAACTCTATGTATATACTTACCTTAAAATTGCATGCACATACGTACTGCACATAGCCACGTAACGTTACATGGCATGTGTAGGGAGATTATTATATGAGGAAATAAGTTCCTGAAATCTCATCTGCCAACCGTGAATCCGATCTTCAGTTAGACAGTGTCTGCATTGGATCATGTTCGCTGCCATTGGCGGTGCCAATGAACTTGGTTTAGTTTTCCTTTCGGAATAGATTTCTAAAAGAAATGTGAACTGAGCATTTTGGTTTATTGTTCTGAAACTATGTGTTCTGTATTAGTTCGTAATGAGCACCTGCATTTAGTATATCATGTTGTACGAAATCTCATTTCTTTGAATTCTTTTTGAGTTTCATATATGAGTTAGGACAATGCTTTTATAACATGGTTTGAAGACTAATATCTTCTGCATTGTTGCAGGTAATATTATCTGCAGAGGCAGATCCTCCAGTTCTCAGGATAATGGATTACAAGTATGATATTTTATAACATATTAGAAGAAGTTCACAATTCTCTTAGTTTTTCCTGTTTCTTATTTGCGATAAATGCTCAAACTTTACAAATATATCCCCTCATAGTTTTATGTTAGTTGATTGAAGTAAATAAACATAGATAGCAAGTGCGGTAATTTCATATTCTGTGGCTCGGGAAGACGTTGGTAAATGCTTTGTGCAATAATGACAAACTATGGTAGCACATTGACCAGGATGTTGAGTGCCACTAAAAAATTGGGATCTTGGTGATTTACCTATATATCCTGTTTCATACATATGTATTTACAGGAACCAATCGCCCTAAATATTATGTATTTTTTTCTTGAATCCTAAAACGAGTAGATCTAATTGTCTATACCCCTTCTCTTTGTCAGTAAATATAGATACGAACAGCAAAAGAAGAAAAGAGACCAGCAGAAGAAAAGTGCAGGTGAGTTTTTTCTCTGTCTTGAGTTTCTGATTAATGCATAGTTCTCTGATTTGAGGAAAGATACTAAACTGACCATAGTCTTATCTTGAATGTTAGCTAGCCGCATGGATTTGAAGGAGCTCAAAATGGGGTAATGCACTAATCTTCCCTTGTTTATTTGTATTTAGTCTTATTTCAAATCCCTAGTATTAATGTGTTTGTTTGACATGTGAGTTAATTAATGGCTGAATTACATAGATAGATGCTTATGAAAAAAACAAATGTTTGAAATACACAGATAGATAGCTGCCCAAAAATTTGTATGCATAATTTTTTTCACCATTATCATTGTGTGTACAGTTACAACATCGACCAACATGATTACTCCATGCGCTTGAGAGCTGCCCAGAAGTTTTTGAAAGATGGTGATAAGGTTTGCTTACATTTGTCATTGATGCCAGAGTTTACCTCCCTATATTGTTCTTATGTTTTTATGTATTTAGCGCTGCAACCAATTTTTGCAGGTCAAGGTTATAGTCAATTTGAAAGGCCGTGAAAAATGGTTCCGTGATATTGCTGTTGAGCTGATCCAAAAATTCCAGAGTGATGTCGGGGAGGTACTGATGTGTATTTGCTTGCATTTTGAATCATAAATGGAGTTACATGAACCCACCACCATAAGTTGTTGCTTGAGTTTAATTCTATCTTCTTCATGTCTCGATTCACAAATGAATCCACAGTGCTTGTTTTTCATATTCCTGAAGTGCTTCAGATTGGTCTGTAATTTTTTTGTGCTAAAAAATAAACTGTTTGCAGTCCACTTTAAGTTCTGGTTATTTAGTTATTCAGTTGCTCTGGTTTTTTATCTTCAATTGTATGATTGTTTATGTGGGTTGCAGCTTGCAACAGAAGAATCTAGACACTTCAGCGAAAAGATGATGACTATGGTTTTAGTTCCCAACAAGGCTGTTCTGCAGAAACCTCAAGAACCGCCGAAGAAAAAAGAAAGCCCTGCCGTGAAGGAAATATCAGCTGGTGTCTAAGTAGGCTCGAGTTTCAACTGCAGGTTTTACATATAGGTAAATCATTTGTAGTTTCATTTTGTTTTTTTCAACTATGTTGGGAATCTCTGAGGTTGTGTATAGCACTAGTGTAATATATGATTGTACGAGAATAACACAGGTAGATTAGATTTTAATGTCAAAACTAGCTGAATCTTGTACACCGTACTCTTAATGTCAATTAAGAAACATTTCTGGTCCACAGATGACGAACATTTTATCACGGTCAGGACCAAAACAGTCCCACATAAACAACTCGTCTTGTGTGGACGTCTGATCAAACAATGTTGTAATCGTGTTTGATATAAATCTCTTATTTCTAGTTGTTTTCTCGAGAGGAGGAAACGTTATGGCCAAAGGAAACTATAGGCGATTGCATCATCAAATAGTCTTAATCGCTTATTTGGCCTGGTGCTGGATGGTTGCTGTTGAAGCAGGCAAAGTGGTCAAACCTGGTTACGCCTACATTGTTCATGCATATAGGAGATAGCGGGATGATGTTATTCGGCAACGAAGAAAAGCTTCCAGAGCATCTGCTTGGAATTTGGAAAGGGGTCATGTTCTGGTAAGTTGTAACAGGTCTTGCTGGTCGATTTTATATCGAAAATTCGGGTATTGTGTTAATCTGTCTGTGTGTAGATGGGGAGGCTTCAACTCACCTACCTACTGATTGAAAAGTTGGCTTAGATTCGAAGTATTTTCTGGGTAAGTTGGGTGACTGCTACAGTATTTTAAGTATTTTCTGGCTGTTTGCGGATTAGTGTTTCTTATCGGATACCGGGCCCGCTGTTTATGTTATAGTGTCCAGTCTGAATTCGATCAGCTTGAATATCTTTCTTGAATTTGTGATTAAGCTAATGACAACGTAACCAAAAAAGTCTTTCCTTTGAGAGAATTTTAGGTTAAGTGGCATGTCCGACCACTAAACATCAACAAGAATATGAACGCGTTATACATGTTCATAATCTTGATCATGCTTGTGTGGCCATATGTTTGTCAATGTATGCTGAGGTGAAAAATAAACAACATGACGAGTTTATTGGATGGTTGGACAAGCGACGTAATTAGGCTGACCTGAGATTTTAAGTGAACTCGTATCTTATTTACAATGTCACGGCCTATGACCAAAGAGGATATTCAAATGGCAATGATATCTTCAACACGTCATCAACCATCACCCCTTATCCTTGCCGAAAATAAGTCAAATTACATTTATTCAAAAGAAAACAAAAATTATAACGCCACTTTAGATTTTCCACTTGCAAAAGAGAAAAATATGTTTTTGCATCAGAAATTACAAATAAAGAAAGCAACTTTGGATTTCTACCACGCATTTGAAACAAACGGGTTCAAATTTTCTGCATTCATTTTGTGTGTGATTTTTGTATAACCTATATCATTGATTAACACGTGTTAATAAACTTAATCGTCTTTCAAGTGTTCCACAAAAATGTCACACACAAAATGAATACATAAGATTTGACTCGAGACAAAACTCTCCGTAGAAGTGGAATTTCACTTACTAATTACAGTAAAGCAACCTTCTTAGTACGAGTAGCAGCCTTCTTGGTACGAGTATATTGCCATGAAATCATCTTTCAATTATATAAAGGTACATTACACCTGAACATTCTTTGTTGAGTATAAAAAACTTCTAGCTAGGGACACTAACAATCTAATTGACAATAAAAAGAAACAAAAATAAATAAGAGAAGGTGACAAGGCAAAATCGAGGGTGTTGGGTAACGTTGAAAAAGGCGGGAGAGAAGGCGGTTGAGTAGTACAGTTTAAGAATGGAAGGAAGGAAAGCTTAGCTTCAAGGCAACGGAGACCCTGCAACCAACAACCACCTTCCGCCACCTGAATCGTTAAGTGGACTCTCTCTCTCTCTCTCTCTCATAAATAATTAGGTGAGAGGAGCTGAGAGGGACCTCACCCCCAAATATATCCCATGCCACCCTCCTCATAGCTAGCTGTTACTTCCATTCTTCAACATAAAATAGAAACCTCACCATCTTAGACCATCAGCGTTATTGATCGCTCTCGACCCTGAAATCGACGTCACAGGCTGCCGCCATGGAAGCCAGCGCCGGACTTGTCGCAGGGTCTCACAACCGCAATGAACTCGTCGTCATTCGTGGCCATGAAGAGGTAGCTAATAATTTCACATATAGTTTGTTTTGGTGGTGTTTAGGCATTTCACCTATAGTAGTTGACCTATTATTACAAAACATTTACAACTTATACCGTAATATTCAAAATAAATCATTTGATGTTATTACTCACCTTAATTATAATGAACAAACAATTATTGCACATATTATTACCCCTAACATATATGTACAAAAGTATAGAGTACTACTATACGTTCAAATATATATATATATATATATGTATATATATATATGCGCAATACTACATATATGTTCAAAAATATTGTACTAATTAATTTTCCTATATATAAATTTATGATGAGCAAATAACATATATTTTGTAAGTAAATTAATATTGAATCAAGTAACATTCCTTTCTTTTGTTGGTAATTATTTTCCATGAATTATTACATATATTTGGCCCATTTAATTATTCTAAGATATATGTACAAATAATAGGCAAATTAATTTTGAATCAAATAAAAATGCTTTATTTTGTAAGTAAATAAATTTTGAATCAAATAACATTCATTTATTATGTAGGTATTATATTTTGTATTATTATTACACACACACACACACACACACACACACACACACACACACACACACACACACACACACACATATATATATATATATATATATATATATATATATATATATTTTGGAGTACATTTATATTGTTATATGTACAAATAATAAGTAAATTAGTATTGGATAAAATAATTGTTTTTTATGTAGGTAAATTATTTTGTATATATTTTGCTTTTTTTTTAACAAGCGGTGTTATCTTTATTATGTAGGTAAATTATTTGCATATATTTGACATATATTGAGTAAATTATTTTGCTTTTTTAAGTAGTCTAACATTTTAAAATTCCAATAGTAGGTGCACCATTTGAATCAATAATTACTACGAAATCAAATTTTTAATCTTATGTTGCCTACATAAAGTTATATAAGAGTAAAAACTTGAATGTAATAATTTAAAGCAAGAATTTTATGCTATGTTTTCTAGGTTTCTAGCCTTCAAGGCTTTCAAGTGAATAAAATAAGGAACCATTTGTGGTATGGAAGTTTTAATTTATTACTATTGGTTAAAGCGATGAGTTTATTTAACATCTATTAGCTCTTATTATTCTTAAAAACAGCCTTACTAATAAAAAATTCATTTATTAAGGAGAATATGACAATTAAAAAACATAAACTAACCCAAAAATTAATATTTTTAAGCTTGAAGAACCAAACTCTCCCTATGCTATAGCCTAGGGGAGCCTTGTACTTGGCTCCGCCCTTGGACTTATTAAGCATGTATTATTACATATATTATGCATGTTTTATTCTTATTATATATTGGACAATGAATTTATAACATTAATGTTTTCATTTTTGTAAAATCATTAATTCTCCTTTACACAATCTGCATGGAATTAAATTGTGCATATAAAACATTTAAATAGGGGTATTTTAGGCATCCGAATTTTTTTAAATGTATAAAGTCAAACTTAATTAATGAATTTGCTGATGTGGATTCTAGTTAATGAGTTTTATTCGGGTTAAAAACTTATGTTGGGTTTTATGTGGAGAAAATTAAGTTTTAGGGGCAAAAGTCTTATTCGGGATTGAGAGGGGCACTTTATGCCTTTGATCAACACCGAAGAGCTAATCTCGTTTAATCATGTCTTTTTTGAAAGAAAAAAATTAGTATGTCCTATGACTTGAGTGTATTTTGGTCTGTGTGACTGTGTACAAACAGTAAAGAACCCTCTACTAATCACGTCGATGTTACATTTTTCCTCACACTTGCATCTTACCATTTACACAACATGTCACGTGGGAAAAGTCGTGTAATTATTCATTCAATACACGTCAATTTTTTGACGTGAGATTCTTGTATTATTCGGCAACTACGCTTTTGATTTTAGTTAATTTTGTGAATTGGATTGAAGTTTGACTTTTTGTGCTTGATGGATGCAGCACAAGCCATTGAGAAACTTGGACGGACAGGTTTGCGAAATATGCGGCGACGACGTGGGGCTGACGGTGGACGGAGACATGTTCGTGGCGTGCAACGAGTGTGGCTTCCCAGTGTGCAGGCCTTGCTACGAGTACGAGCGGAGGGAAGGCTCCCAGAACTGCCCTCAGTGCAAAACCAGATACAAGCGTCTCAAAGGCAGCCCCCGAGTCGAAGGAGACGATGACGAAGAGGACCTTGATGACATTGAACACGAATTCAACATTAATCACGATCATCCGGAAGATGATCACGATCAGATTAACGGCAACAACTCCGGCAGATCGCCCTATTATAAGCCAAACAATGAGCAGGTGGCTCAAGCCATGCTCCATGGAAAGATGAGCTATGGAAGAGGCCCTGATGATCCTGATCAGGAGTCACATTTCCCACCCGTAATCGCTGGAGTCAGATCCCGCCCGGTAATACTGAATGCATGATGACTCTTTTGGAGTACCAATAGCAGCTCTCTCGATCAAATAGGTCATGCTTCAGGATTGTTTAGCACTATTTTTAGCTCATCTACATATGTGCATTCTTGATTTCGTGCAGGTAAGTGGTGAGCTCACATACTCAACGCACGGTCATGGAGATCCGCAGATGTTATCATCTTCGTTGCATAAACGAGTGCATCCATATCCGGCTTCTGAGGCTGGTATACTTCATTTATTTGCTCATTTTATCTATCTATCCAAATTTTCGTTTTCATTTACCTGCGCTTTTGCATTCATACAGGAAGTGAAAGATGGGATGCTGAGAAGAGAGAGGGAGGTGGATGGAAAGAAAGAATGGATGACTGGAAAATGCAGCAAGGCAACCTTGGCGGCAATGATCAACCCAATGACTTTAATGATGCCGACATGGCCATGTACGTATACATATACATATATGCTCTTTAATTAAGCTAATTAACTCAATTCAACCCAATAATCAAGTCCTTAATTTCATTTACTAACATATATATATATATATATATATATATATATATATATATATATATAATGTTGTGTATTGGGGCTGCATAATGCAGGA